CTGGACAGGTCGCCAGTCTGTCGCAGGGCCAACACACAGAGACAGACGACCATTCGCACTCACATTCACTCCTATGGGCAATTTAGATAGTGGAGATTGATCAATTAACCTAACTGCATGTCTGTGGACTGTGGGAGGAAGCCGGAGTACCCGGGGAGAATCCACGCAAACACGAGGAGAACATGCAAACTCCACACAGAAAGACCCCGGGCTGATGGTGGAATTGAACTCAGGACCTTCTTGCTGTGCGGCAACAGTGCTAACCACCGTGCTCATGAATCCTAATTTTAGATCTGATTTTAAATCTAATTATTCATCTGAAGTCCAAGAGGGATCTGCACTCGAGTCTGTTTTTAATTAAAAACTGTTTGCTACAGTTAACGACCATTTCATTATTTCAAAAATTCCAGTAAAAATAAAGAATTCCCTGAGTTCTGTCATAACTGGATAAAAATGCTGATAATGTCGCTCTAATATCAGCTTCAAGCTAAAAAAAAGTTTAAAAAAACAAAACACACGGGATCAGCTGGGAAATGACCGAGCAGACCTGGATCTGGGACGAATCCGATCTGAATCCCTGATCAAAAATCTGTTTGGATCCGTCCTGCTGTGCAAGTGGACTCGGTTTGCTGATCGGTCACGGAGCCCATGTTCTGGCTGATCTGGTTCTGGGTCGACCTGCCGAGGCCGACTCAGGTGATTTTCAGTGGTTACATTTCACGATTACAGTCAGACTGTCTGCAGTGACTTTAAACACATTTAGTTCAGCTTTAGTTTTAAAGTCATCTCAGCCTGAACTTCACTCGAATAAGATCCATTTATCCATCAGAGTGATTGATTATAATGAACCAGATGATTGATCAGAGTGATTGATTATAATGAACCAGATGATTGATCAGAGTGACTGATTATAATGAACCAGATGATTGATCAGTGTGATTGATTATGATAGTTTTTGTAAAAACATCTGCAGATTAATTGTTTGCTCTGAGCTTGGACAGAATTGACTTGAATGAGGAAATGAGTCAGTTGGCTGGTTCAGGTGCAGCAGAGGGGAGGAGTCAGAGAGAAACCATGGCAGCCAGCAGGTTAGTTTGGAGTCTGTTACCATGGTAACTGACTCAGAGTAGAAGTTAACAGTATTTCTGGGACAGAAAAGTTTCCTTCATCTCAGGGTTAGCGCAATCAGAGCTGCAGCTAAACCTGCTTCCTGGAACCCCTCGTGATCTCTCTGTGAGCACCAGGATGAGGTCCTGTCTGCAGTTTTCTGAACCTGATGAACTTTGAGGAGGATACGTGTTGGCGATGTGTGTCACCGGCCCCTGTCCAGACACAAGGACGCATTTATCGTGGAAACTCTTCATCATCTGCAAAGGACTGTGGGAAAGGACCACCTGCTCCGGCGTGATCTACAGACAGAGAGAGACATGAGTGGTCCGAAGAACAGCTGTAGATAAAAGATGGACCCAGCCACTGACGGCGCCTCCACGAGACAAAGTGACGCGCTGATGTTCTTTAGTGTGAGCCATGCTTTAAAAATGGACCCTCGGATGCGCTGTAGACTTGAAGTGGTCCCATGATTCTACATTCAAGTCAGGAGGATTCAGGATGAATCCTGGCGTCCAATCACAGCACAGATATGAGCAACAACACAATGAATTAAAACATTTTAGGGCTGTCAATGTTAACATAATGCAATTAAAATTTTTAACACAAGTAACCCATCTGGAGCGCAGAATGACTGGAAGTCCCTGAAATGTCTCTGTCAGTTTATCCAAAGTCTGTCCGTCCACATGAATGTTAATCGCGTTAATGTTAGCACGTGAACACTGACAGCCTTAAAAATGTTCATGGCAAAACAATGAACTTGAATAAATGTCACTGTCTGACATCATGTTACACAGTGTTGAGCCACACGGGCTCATTTGTAACGGAGGTTAAAGGTGTTAAATTCATAACATTCACAACAAGAATAACACACATGAGTCGTGACACGGGTCAGCTGAGCTGCTCAGAGACAGGAACAGTTACATCCAGCTCTTCAAAATAAGAGCTGAAAGGTGTGTTTTATTGTGTTAACTCATTACTGTGTAAAGTCAAAGTCACAGTGATTTAATGGTCAGTAAAAAATGTTCAGAATTAGCAGATAGATGATTCTGCTCTCCTGCATCAGCTGCCTTTAAAGAGTAAAAGTATCGGTACTTGTATCAGCAGCTCTACCAACCAGAGCCAACCCCTCGCACCATGTGACAGTCATGTGATGTTAGGGCTATCTTCCTCCTCTCCTCTTCATCACCTCCTGAGTTGAATTTAGAGTCATGGGACCTCTTAAAGTTATAAATTAATGACATTAAAGCCCAACAGAGTCCCGTGAACACGGAGAAGCCCTCATTGTGTTTATGCAGCCGTGTCACAGCTTCCACAGCGAGAACACGGTGAGCACAGATTAACTTTACCAGAATCACCTGAGACACACACACAGGTAGGGAGGAGGCTCACTGAGAGGTGAGGAAACAGGCTGACTGTGTTAAATTATACGTAAGAGTCCAAAAAAGCTTAAATAATCGATCGATAAACGGCGCCTACACAGCTGGAATCAAAACAGGAAGTTCTGCAGCCTCCTACCTGGACGTCCAGCAGGTGAGACAGCTGCTGGGCTTTGTGGTGTCTCTGGCAGCTTCCTGCATTGGTGACGAAGACAGTGGGAAAAAGGAAGTTGTTGTTACTGTCCAGGAGCTTCCTGAAAGCTCGCCGAGCAGCTGGGATCACGGCGGACCCACGCACCAGGACGCCATCCACATCGAAGATGACGCCCGCCTGACGGACAGGTACGAGAGAGAAAGACAAGTTATTCACTTTTCCTCCATCATGTGAAGAAGCCTGCTGTTGTCCGACAAACAGTAAGACACGATCAATAGATTATCAATAGTTATCAGTCTGGGTTCATAGGATGTCATAACACACACACTGACCTGCCTGCTGGAAACATGTCTGACCGTCTGCTGCAGGAAACCTCGACACCACATGACGCGCAGGTCCCTCTGCCGCTCATCGCTCTTTATAGCCACACAGCTGCGATGTCACCAGTGGGAGGAGCCTGATGCAGCACACTTGCGTTGTCACCACAAAAAAAGCTTCTGCTCAGCTGACGGTACGGTATTTTCCTGTGACACAGACAGAGATGAGGGATGGGTTACCTGTGGAGGAGAAGAAGGCGTGGCCTCGAGATAACCTGGTCATGTTAGTTTGGTCATTAGTTGATTAGCTCCTATATTAAGCTGATAACAGGAATTGAAAAATAGATCCTGTTACCTGAGCTAAACACTCAGCTTTAAGTCTCAGACATGTGATCTATAAATGAAGTGTAAACTGTACCTGTACAGGTGGGAGGAGTCACCTGGATCCAACAGCACCTCAGGTTCAGCTTCAAGTTGAGGTTCAGGGTCACGATTGGTTCACTGGAGATAAGGACGCTGAAGCAGACGCACACACACACACACACACACACACACACACACACACACACACACACACACACACACACACACAC